TAACCCAGGAGTTCTGCATATCACTGAAATAACAGGTCGTCTTGTCCCCATGCCTATAGAGAGGAGAATAGAGTATTTATTGGGATCCTGAAACCTTGGGCAGCAAGGTGGTGCAGTGGATACAGTACTGGGCCTAGAATCAGGAGAAGCTGAGTTCAAATCCAGTCTCAGATATTACTTAGCTATGTGACCTTGGCCAAGTCACTCAACTTCTGCCTGCCTCAATTTCCTCATCTATAAAATGGGGATAATACCACCTGCCTCCTAGGATTGTTATGAGGATGAGATGACATAATAATTATGTAATACTTAGCACAGTGCCTGGCACAGAGCAAGCTCTATACAAATGTTAGCCATTGTTCCCTATAACTTGTGGAGATGCGGTTGCTTACAGAGAGGTATAAATATAGTGTATCAATCAATAAGTATTTATTTACTAAATGCCTACTACATGACTTGAGGGGGCAGCTAAGTGGTTCGGGGAATAGAGTGCAAGGCCTGGAGTCAGAAAGACTCATCTTCCTGAGTTCAAATCTGGCCTCAGACGCTTACTATCTATGTGACCCTGGGCAAATTATTTAACCTTCTTTGCCTCACTTTCCCCATCTGTAAAATGAGCTGGAGAAGGAAATGGCAAACCACTCTAGTATCTCTACCAAGAAAACCCCAAATGGGATCCGGAAGAGTCAGACATGACTGAACAATGACAAAGGTGGCGATCCAAAGCCAAAATGACATGGGATCTTACGCTGTGTTGGGGGAGACAGAGGGTGCAAATATCAGCATACGCTAAGTATCAATGAATTCTGCAATCAAAGTTTTGAAATTCCCCAGAGGTAGAAAAGTCTGTAGAAAAGCAGGCAGAAAACAACGGTGGAACAAGAAATGCAAGCAGAGATCTGAACCTGTTAGGATGAGCTTTTCGTCTGATTGACTTATAATTCCACAGTTTGGAGGGCTGCAAAGATGGAATGGGGTCCACCCTGCTTTCTAGAGCACCAGCCAAGCCAAGGCCTGGAAGCCCCCAGGATATGGCAAGGTGTCAAACAAAAAGATCCCAAACTCTAAGAGCTTTACGTTCTCCTAATTTAAAAAGTTCCAGTAGAGCAGTCTGCTTCAGTTCATCCGTTCTATACGACAAAGAAACGACGGGCAATGTTAATATAGGATCAGGGCTTGCAGCTAACATGTTCATGGATGCACAGACTGAAACTGCCTTTGCTTCCTGGAAAATATCTTCCTCCTCTTTTCTTTTTCATTGAAGTCACTGGGAACAGCCTCTTCCTACACTACCTTACCCTTCCATTGTTCTGGTAACTACTGTCTTGTTGTTAACAAACTGCCCTTAATATTAGACCTGTGTCCCCAACCAAATTCCTGAAATTAATTTTAATAGATCTTATATTTAATTTAATTTTATATGCACATGTACTTTCTTTTCTATTTCCCCCATAAAATATAATCTCTTCAAGGTCTAAGGCTATTTTATTGTCTGCTTTTGTGTCTCTAGCACCTAACAGAATGGCCAACACATAATAAGGCCTTAATAAATGTTTTTTTTGAATTAAACTGAATTTGTTTGGTTGTTTATTTGCTTACAATGTAATTTGTTTCCTTTAATAACTTGGCTTTATTTATCAGGAGGGAAAAGAAGAAGAAGAAGAAGGAGAAGAAGAAGAAGAAGAAGAAGAAGAAGAGAAGAAGAAGAAGAAGAAGAAGAAGAAGAAGAAAGAAGAAGAAGAAGAAGAAGAAGAAGAGGAGGAGGAGGAGGAGGAGGAGGAGAGGAGGAGGAGGAGGAGGAGGAGGAGGAGGAGGAAGAGAAGGAGGAGGAGGAGGAGGAGAAGGAGAAGGGAAGAATTGTGCAGACCCAGGTTCAAATCTGACCTTGTGAAAGTTATTCAAACTAAGCAGTAGGGTGACTAAGCATGGTTGATGAGATCTTTTAGATTACCCCAATAATGGGCTCCCTGGGGCATGGTAGAGAAGTCAGTTAACCAAAGTAGTATAGTCTGAAGTCAGGAAGACCAAATTCAAATTTGACTTCAGATACTAGCTGTGTGATCCTGGACAAGTCACTTAACCTCTGCCTGCCTCAGTTTCCTCATCTATCAAATGACTGAAATAACACATATCTCCCAGGGTTGTTATAAAGATCAAATGAGGTAATATTATGAAGCACTTAGGTGGCACAATGCCAGGCACATACTAAGTGCTTAATATTTGATCTTTCCTCCCCATTTAACCTTCAGGGTTCCAAGCAACTCTCTTAGCCTATTAATTTGCAGAGAAGATACTGATCCACTTTAGTAGGCAAAATTCCTCCCAGGGAGCTAGTTCTATCTATTGATAAAATCACAGAGTGAAAAAAATTATAAAACCAATTCAAAAGACAAAAAAAAGTCATCCAACACAAATTCAAAAAACAAATGATATCCCCTTACACACCAAAAAAAAATTGGAATTCATAATTAGAATCATGTACTGTTAGAGGGGCAAGGGACCTTAAAGAAGACCCAGTGTAATGCCATCATTTTACAGATGAGGAAACCCAGATCCAGACATTGTCACATGACTTGTCCAAGATCTCAGTGGCAAAGGAAAAATTAGAACCCTGGTCTTCTCAATTCCCAAATCCAGTGTTTATTTTCTCTTAGCTCTTACCGGACAAGGGGCTTTTAACTGTGACATGTGATTGCTGATAACCAAAGCCTTCAGTCAGGATCTTCTGAATATATGAGAATGTGAATCATACAAAAATTTACTTTAATTTGTGAATCCTTAGTATGGGGATGACTGAGTAAAAAGTAGATGGTGGCAGGGTCAATCACTTGCCAGAAGCTCAGAGTTCTGAATTCCTTACAGGGGCAAGGTTTTAGCCTTCTCTACCCCTGTTTGACCTCTAGCAGACTATTTCTTTGTGACACCACTGCAGACCTGAGAAAAAGATTTTGGCTTAAGTCACATGTGAAAATGAATTTGTGGGTCTCAACCCTTCTCTTGTGAATATGTGTAGCACTCCATAATCTGGCATGATTCAGCGTGATTGGCAGTTGGAAATGGGTCGGTGGTCAGGACAGAGAAGGAACTTAGCAGAACTGTCTTGAGAACATAATGTATCAGCCCACACTCATGAGTTCTTTCCCCATCAGTAAAGGAAACAGGGTACAGAGAGGGCAAGTGATGAATTGGAAGTCAGAGGACCTAGGTTCAAATCCTAACTGCTCCATTGTGTGACCTTGGGCAAGACACTAAATCTCCATGAACCTCAGTTTCTTCATTTGTAATGTAAGAAACTTAGACTACACGGCCTTCTAGATCTCAGTCTCAGATTCAATGAATCCAATAAGATGCAGTCCTCAGATGTTCTGGACTTGCGCAATAGGGTGAGGGGAAATAATGGGAACTAAGCAGTAATATATGCCAGGGACCTCAAACGGAATTCTCTGGTGTCGTAGTCCTGACCAAAAAAAACAAAAAACAAAAAAAACAAAAAACAAAAAAAAACAAAACAAAAAACTCAGCATGGGCTGTCCCTGAAGGAGAAAAAGCTCACACAGAGATAGATGTTCATCTGCAATCTGTTAGCAGGCAGGAAATTATCAGAAGCATTGCCAATCCCTGAGATCCTGTTTCATAAGCACCTTTCACCACCGGTATGTCTTCATTCTGATGGGAGCCATCTGTGCCGAAACACTCTTTCTCCCAATTCTGCTATTCCCCTAGCTCAGAAAGCCTGTTGGTTGCTAGGTAGGACTGGTTCTATTGGCCAGTACTCTTGGCTGTAAGCACTCTGAAGTGATCGTCGGTAGACACGTGTTGCCTGCCTAGCAATGGCAAGACGTTTTTCAAGACTCATCATGGAATGAAGTCCTTGCCTTCAAGGACCCTACAGAGAAATGGATTCAAATGGGAGTAGGGAGAAATGCAGTTAGACCAAATACTGTATTTGTCAATCACTGAGTATTAGATATGGGACAGGGAGAAAGAAAAAACATCTGTAGCCTGTTAACTGTGTAGGGGGAAGGGACTTCAAATATCAGGAAGGTCACAGAAATCCTGTGAAAGTTTCTTTTAGAAATAAAGAGAGAGAGAAAGAGAGAGAGAGAGAGAGAGAGAGAGAGAGAGAGAGAGAGAGAGAGAGAGAGAGAGAGAGAGAGAGAGATGTTAGAAGAGAGATATGGATCAAGATTGAGATGTAACAATACATATATGTAGCCTTTGTTATAGATCTACATTTATAGGTAAATGATGGGGATAACTGATAGATGACAGGGAATAGAGTTAGAAAGAGAGACAGAAACAGATGGAGACAGAGAGATATGTAGATGGGTAGATAGATAGACAGACAGATAGATAAGACAGTATTTCTTTTGTCCAAGAACTTTCTCTCCTTACATTCAATAGCCCAGCTTCCAACTCTGGGCTTGAGACACATTAAATATCAATCATCCGTTAAGGCAAATGCAGAAGGCACACCTCAATTCTTTGCCAACAGCAACTTTTTTTATTGTCCCCTCCCCCAACTCTCTTATGGGGCTTTATGAAGCAGTTTTCATTATCTAACGTATTACTCACAGCAACTGTGTGAAGTAGACAATAAAATATCATCCCCATTATAAATGAGGCAACTGATGGTCAGAGAGGTAGGGCTCAAGGCCACACAGCTAGGAAAGAGAGAGAAAAGTGACAGAGCCAAGATTCAAAGCCAGATTTTATGAATTCAAGTCTATCCGCCAACTTTCCCATCTCTTAAAAGTTTTTAATGAGAAAAATCGACGCAAACATCAAGGGTATCCTCAACGAAGGTGTCAGCCTGGCAAAGCCCACTCCTCAAAATGCAGCAGAGTCCAAGCTGAGTTGAAAGCAGAAAAATTTCATTAGGAGGAAAACCAGACACTAGTGCTGTGGTACACCAGTACAAAGTACAGCCCGGGAGAGGCAGGGGAGATTTATGCTTGAAAATCACAAGGGGCAGGTTCGGGGAGGGGTTAGGGTAAAGAATGCACAGTCTTTCCCAGGAGCAGGTGGGACACAGAAGTGGGATAACAGTTGACCGCAAGGCTGGTGCAGGCTGTTTTGGGGTTCATAGGTCAGCCAGCAAATACCGGCAACAGTATCTGGGAATGAGCAAGACTTTGGCTCACTGCAGGCTCCTGATTGGCTCCCTTCAGCAAACAGGCTTCCTCTGTGTCCAGCGCACCCACCTGGTAAGGTAACACATAGAAAACAGACGTATTGGGGCAGCCAGGCGTTACAGCGGATAGAGCACCAGCCCTGATAACTCAGGAGGACTTGAGTTCAAATCCAAAATAAATAAATAAGTAAACATATTCATCTCAGAGGTACTGTCACACAGGTATGACAAAAGAACCGGCAGGCTTTTGCAAATTCTACACCAGACCTTTTTTCTTCAGATTTACAAGTCACTGTAAGGTACAAAGTATGCAAGACTCCCCAAAAACACTCTTGTTACCAAGCAAATCAATATCTGATTCAGTAGATCAAAATTCCAACTTAAAAGTTCTCTAGTCAATCAACAAACGTCAATTAAACACTTACTGTGTGTTGGCAACATAGCTGTGAGAGTCCTCCAACAAGGACCCTCACACGTATGTCTAAATTATATGATTCTTTTGAAAAGGCGGCATAGGTAATTTTGTTTGATGCCCTGCTGGTAGTTAATAAGGAGAACATGAAACAAGGGGATGTATGCTTGTCCACAGTATTTGCCACTATTACAGACTTTGTCCAGCACAGAGAGTAAAAGGAAGAGGGATTCCTTATTCATAGTGAGGTATTCCTGATATTCTTGTTTTTGAGTGATATTGTGTGGCTGACTCGTATAAGCCCTAGAACACTACAGAACCTTTTAAGTCAGATTTGCAATCACTCAAAAATGGGTGGCCTAACTATCCACCCAAGAAAAACTAAGTGGATGAAAAATGACTAGTGTCCAAACTATAATTTGCAGCTGGATGGACAGTCATAGAGATGACTTACTAGTAAAGATACATTGGAAAGACACTGGCGTTAGACATGAGCTGGGTTCAGAATTAAAGAACAAGAGAATGGAAGTCTATATTGCTTTTGAAAACTGGCCTATGATTTCAATGACCTCAAGTTTCCATATTGTTTAAAAGATTTTAAAAATTTTGATGTATGAAAACCACAGTTATTTCCCCTTAAGCTTCACTTTTTGCTGAAGTCTCCTTTGTTACAAAGAAAACATCTGAGCAAAAACAATCCAAGACATTCATCTGACGGCGTATTCTACATTTCACATTTATGGTCCTGTCCCTCCCTACTGAGAAGAGGAAGATACATTTCATCTAGAACCAAGGTGAGTCTTTATAAGCAGAGAACTGCCCTTTACTGTTGTTTTCACTTACTTTATTGTGGTCATTGTGTATACTGTTCTCATGCCTGGCTGATACCTACATTTATACAAAGGACAGAGTTGAATCATTCAATTTTCCTGAAGTGTAAGAGCATTCTAAGGGGAGTATGAGATAAAGTTGGAATAGGATATTACCACGAGGTTCTAGAGGACCCTAAACATCAAAATCAAGAGTTTGTATTTACTCAGTAGTCAGTGGGAAACCAGTGAAGGTTTTTAAACAGTGGTAGACAGGGGCCTTATTTTTAAGCAGCTTAATCATCAGGATCAGGGATTCTACTTTATTTGGTGGTCGAAGGGAGCCACGGAAGGTAGTTGAGCAAAGGATTAGACTGTCCCAAGTTTTCCATTTGTGACTCAGAGACTAGTTATCCATGTTACAAATTACCCCTGCCCTCTGGCATGCTGAAGCTGGCTCAGACCAGCTTGCCAGTTGATCATTAAATTTTCAGTGTGAGCATTTACACCTTGGAAATCAGCAATTGCTGCAAATCAGGGATTGACTTATTGTTTTATTGATTGCCTATACTGAAGAAAGTTATGGAGAAATGTTAAAAATGCAGAATAAACTTTAAAATAGGTTGCGCATACAACACACTTTATTGGAGAGTCAGTTGTTAAATGCATAGCACATTCCTGCTATGCTCTGCTTCTTCTCCTTTTGTTATTTGCCTGTGGGTAACTCTCTTGATAGCATATAGGCTAAGAGAAGTCCAGGGATCATAGTGTCATAGATCTAGGGAAACCTTAGAGATTATATAGTCCAATCTCCCATTTTACTGAGGCCCAGAGAGGTTGAGTGCCATGACCCAGATCACACAAGTATGGAGAGAAAGTGAATTCCTATTTAATTGTTTAACAGATCTATATGAAAGTTGGTGGAAGCGTAAGGGAGAAAGCTGAGGCTATTGATTGCATTATTCATATTATCCCCCTTTTATCTTTTTCTTTCTCCTCATCAAAGATGCTCAAAAGTCGTACATACATAAAGCAATACATATCACATCCCCAAAAGTCAAGTTAATAAGCATTTATTAAGTGCTTATTATGTGCCAGATATTATATGTAGTGCTGCAGATACAAAGATAAGCAAAAACATGGTCCCTACCCTCAAGGAGCTTATATTCTGATGAAAGTAATAACATGTAAATAACTATGTAGATAAAAGATATACACAGTATGAACGCAAGGTAGTCTCAGAGGGAAAGAGGGTGGGATAGAGGTAGGGAATGGTCTCCTGCAGAAGGTGGAATTTAAACTGAGTCTTTAAGAAAATCAAGGAAGCTAGGAGATGATCATGTAGAGGGACAGCATTTAAGGCATGGAAGACAGAGCAATTCATTATATGATGCTTACTTCAGATAGATATAGACAGGGCTGGATTCCTCACCAAGGACCAAGAAGAGATTTCTCCTGGGTGTGCATGTCTGTGAGAGGTGACTAGACAGGAGAAGGGGTTGCTACCTTCCATCTTTTCATTCCTTTTTCAGGTTGAAGGAGGTAGCCACCTACCACCCCCAGGAAGCTGTCTAGTGATTGGTTGCCATGGAATTTGCTTGCTTTGCTTATCCAACCCTGGATCACTGAAAAAGGTTTAAGGCAGAAAAATTTTGAGAATCATCATCTTTTTATGTTCCATCTTTATCTCATTGTTCCGCAGCTCTGTGTATTCCAAGAAGTGCATTTCTGAAACTTTGGACTACAAAAGGGCTGTGGGTTTCTCACCAGGGTGACATGTAAAAAGATGGGCAGTGAATGGATCAGTCCATTAAAGGAAATAACTTTTTTCCCCTAGTGATTTAATAACACAAAGGAAGAAAGAGGCCCTGACATTCTGTCACCTTCATTGCAGGACTTTTGCCCTTCGATTCAAATGGCAGATGTCTAGATAAGGAAATTTGGCTCAGTTACTAAACAGCTGGTTACAAAAAAAAAAAGTTGAGGCTGTCTATTGGGAAGGACTGCTCTCTGGCTTCCCGTCTCTTCCTTTAGTCAATTTGATTTTGAACAATTCACATAGAATAAAGTCAAGCGTTCAGAGCAGCAGACCTAGAGTCTCAAAACCTGGGTTCCAAGACTTGCTCAGCTACTAATTTGCTATGTGACTTTAGACCTGACAATTCACTTCTCCATTGTCAGTAGTTCCAGTAAATGAATCCATAGATAAGCAACAAAAGTCATGCCCACCATGAAATCACAGACAGTTAAGGGAGCTATCAATACTTAGAGCAAATACACAGGTACAATAGAGATTCTGGGGTAGCATTTGGTGGCTATCTCTACTTAAGCAAAGCTATATCATCAATATTTAAACAAGGCCATGTGAAGACATCAAGAGACAAGCCTACCAAGGAAGGTCCAAAAAGGAGACAAGAATAATCAACATAGATAGAATAAATATATAGGATATAGGACTCAAGAAGAACAAAAGTTAGACCTAACTGTGTTCAATTTCTAATGCCTTGAAAATAATTAAAGGAGTTACCTCTGAAGCTACTGATCTCTTCAGTTGGCTTTTGATCATACAACAAGCCAGGCCAGATTTTCTCTAGTGTGCCTGCTATCCAACTTACAGATGGCAGACTTGGGTGAAAGTTATGGAGCTTGGGAAATTCCTTTATTTTAGACCTGACCTAATACGAATAGATGAACCCCCCAGATAATCCAAAAAACCTCTTCTTCCATCTATTCTTTTACCTGAACAATTAACAAGTAGCTTAACTGGCAGATTTGTGTTTCCCTTTCTTTTCCCCCCCATTTTTTAAGAAGTAGTAGGAGGCATGCCCATGAATAGTATTAATGAAATGGCTAACATGAAAAGAGAAGGGTCTGGACTAATTAACTATTTGTACAATTAGGGTGGCTTTCTGTTCCCATTCTTTCATAGCTAGTTATATGAGTTTATCTTTGAGGAATTCTATCCAATTCTATCCAATCAGGCCCCAGGTAGCTTGTCCTTTCTATCCTTTCTTTGGAGAGTAGAAACCTCTGTTACTACAGAAGAAAAGAACCAAGGAAATGACCTGGGTTTCTCAAACCATGAAAGCAAGTGGTCAATGATGAACGCAGGTCCTGGATTCTGTAGAATAAATGCATATCCGATAGTGTTATCTCTGAGTTTCCCCATTCTCCTCTCCGGGAAGTATGTGCATCTAGAAGAAGAAATAGTACAATCATACTTAAAAATCAGCTAATTCAACCTCATCCTCGGCCTCTTCTCCCTCATTTTAACAAATTACAAAGTAAGGTCTCTTTCTAGTTTCAATATTTACTGGGGCCCCAAGCTAAGCCTCAGGTTGCCTTCCATTGGCTGCTGGCCGTTCCATCTGAAATGACTGGTGTATCAGTGACTCCAAAGAGTCCAAAACGTGCCTCTAAATATGGAGCTAATCAAGGAATCTAGATATATAAGAGGATCGCCTCACTGCAAGATTCAGCCTCCAGAGTGAACTCCTGACTGTGGCTAATTGGAGCTAATTGTACAAATAGTTAATTAGTCCAGACCCTTCTCTTTTCATGTTAGCCATTTCATTAATACTATTTATGAGTATGCCTCCTGCTCCCTTTTAAAAAATGGGGAGGGGGGAAGGAAAGAGAAACACAAATCTGTCAGTTAAGCTACTTGTTAATTGCTCAGGTAAAAGGTTAGATGGAAGAAGAGGATTTTTGGATTATCTAAGGGGTTCATTTATGCATATTAGATAAGAAGCTCCTTTCCAGAGATAATTAAGAATTGGCTTAATCTCTATTCTAGCAGACTCTGAAAAGCATCCTCCCTCCAACCTTCTGTCTCTATAAAATGACCACCAA